AGCTTCACCTAAAATCACAGATTTATACTGAATAGGGGACAAAATAAGTTCTGATCGGTAAAAACACAAAAAAATTAATACACTTAAAGCAAAGAGTTAAAACACACAAAGTCCTCTTTAGTTTACTGTAATGCAATTACTGTAACTTGTTGTCACATTACTCTAATCCCATTATATGTAATCTATTACTTTCCAGGCCACTGGCTGCCAATCTCATTAGAGGATTATAAGGATACGATGTCATACCCGGTGCTGAACGAACAGACACACATGCTGCTTCCTGGCTGTCCTGACGCTTTTCCATTCAGCTGAATTCAGCACTGCGACATGGCAGCAGGTAGGAGAGTGGTTTTCAGCTTAAATATAAAACGATCTGTAGTCAGCTCAGCAGGTTTAATCGTCTGGTGTACTGCTGTTACATTTTTATTACACATTATCTCAAACTTATCAGGTTTTCTTAGGACTAGTTTTACCTGATTTAAATCATTTCTAAGAAAATCACTGCAAAAACCTGTTGAGGACAGACACTCAGAGTCGGCACTCATTCAGTTTTATTGTCAAAGCTACAAGATTCATTGTTCGCGCAGTATGTTAATGAGTTTCATCAACTTTTACTCCTCCTTTACTGTTTGACCATCTTCTGCACTGCAGCACTAATACAAGTTTTTTTGTCTTTATAATTCCTGCTTTATAAATAAAGCTAAACTTGTTTCTTATGCTACATAATTCAGTTTAGTATTTCTCTCATCTAGCTGACAACAGCTAACAGAAATGGTTTAGGTAAAGGGTGGTGCCTGGGTGAAGCATACAGACTGCATACATGAGGCCCACTTGTGTATTATCTGCACTATTCCTACAGGAGGTCATTATATAGGTTATATTAAAAAGTTTGCAGATTGAGATTATTTAATGTCTGCTCTTTTTGTGTTGGGGAATAACAACAAAAGGTCAGATTGTAGTTGTTGTGTGGAAAAGGCAAAACTCTCAACTTGCCCCAAGACGTGTGCTTACATATACCTGCTACATTAAATGATATATGAGAATGTTTTTAGGCCAAAGTCCAGCCATGTTTCAGGTGTAAAGGCTGCAGGAAGAGGCCTGCTGAAGGTAAAACATTCAAAATTAAACAAGGATCGTCATCTTGATGGAAAAAGCCTTTTTAAATTCTGAATATCCACCAAGCCT